AGGCCGGGCGGGCTGCTCGGGCCTTAGGGCAGTAGTGCCTCGGAGCCCGGCGCAGGGCGGGAGCCGCTGGGCCTTTGCGGTGTTCACCGGGCTGCCTTGTGCCGGGCCCCGTGCTGGCACGAGACCGGTACGCGGCCTTGTGTGTCATGGGTTTTCTTTTAAAAGAAGAGAAACAATTATAGTCGGGAGGGTGAGGCTTGTTTCCCCCAGTGAAGGAATAAACTTTCTCCGAACACGTAAATAAATAAATCACTAGCACTGAAGTTCCAATTCTCTTGTTTTACAGGATGCGTTACGTCGCAGCTTACCTTCTAGCGGTCCTTGGTGGCAATGAGTCTCCCACGTCAAAGGACTTGAAAAAGATCCTCGACAGCGTTGGCATTGAGACAGATGATGAACGGATGAACAAGGTGGCATTGTCTCTTAATTCTAGCTGGTCACATCGCAGTCAGCATCAGACATTGGAGGTGTTTCCTTGCCTTCAGTGTTTCTTTAGTTGCCTTGTTATTGGTCTAGTCTTATCTTGTTCAGACATTACATGTGATTTCTAAAACTACTTAACTAATCAGAACTATTTTTACAACTTTTTTGTATAAGTCTGGCTTTCTTATTTAACACCTGTGTTCCACAAAGATCTCTGTCAGTTGTTGCTGACTTCTGACTGTTCAATATAATAATTTTCAATGGGATGGTGGCTACAGATGAGTATGTATTGAAAATAAGTTCTGTTCTGATATAATGTATAGTTTGCACTTAAAGTTTAATTTTGGCTTTTGGTCAGTATTCATGCAAAGCTAACACTTTAGTAATATTCAGTAAAAAATTCTTATTATTTTTAGTAATATTCAGTAAAAAACTCTTATTTAGTGTAGTGCAAAGAAGCATTTGTTCCTCCACCCAGAAACATAGGCAAACTATAACATTGGCATTAAAGATATTCAATAATAATATGTAGGAAGATTTTGGAAATTAATGCTGACGTGGTTGTGTTGAAAAGCAGGCTTTTTAAGAACAGAGTACCTTAATTAGAATGTTTTTTGTAATATAATAGACTTTCGGCCTTGTGGACTTAAAAATAAATTGTCTTGGTGGGGGGGGGGGGAATGTCTTATCACCTGACCCATACTTGAATGTGGAGTGTTTTCAGAGAGGTGGAAGAAAAAACAAGTTACTTTCCCAGCTGGAGACAGTGTTTTACCATAGGCCCAACCAAATGATGGGTTGACTGAGCCAACAGCATCCTTATTATGGTTTTGGATGTTGATTTGAACTCGTGGTGCTACCGGTTAAACTCCAGGTCTTTCAGCTTTGGCTTGTTTACATTTAATACCTTCATAAATTAGTTGTTTTCTCTGATCCTCCAATACCCAGAAGGCTACTCTGGAATTTGTTTTGGTCATGATTAATCTTTTTCTATTTGCACTGGCTGTGTCTTACGCCAGTATAAATCTAGTGAAGTCTTAAAAACATCTTCCTTTTGGATGAAGCAAGCACACAGGTGTGGTATTTCACAGATCACATGCTCTGTGTAAGCAGGAGGTGCCTGTTGAAAGACACAATTTGGTTAAAGTCCTTTGGCTTTGTTCACTGCAGTGTTCAGCACTGGTTCTTGGTAGCAGGGACTCACCAGTGTGAGTGGCATTCCCTCTTAGTGCTTGCTTGCTTGAGCAGTTTTTGGGTTTACGTCTTGCTTTCCTCATCCCTGGTTATACAACAATGGTAGTAAAATTGAAGTTAGGACTCTCTGTTCCAGTGCAAGGATACAATAGCCGCCTTGGCTATGACATTTGGTAACGCTAGGAACAGGACACTGTGGGTTTTGGTCTAGGGCCCAGTGCTTCAGAGCCTCCCAGTGGGTATTAAGCAAGATATGTTAACAGTCCCTCAGTGACTAACAAACCATTAGTGGGGTTTCCTAATTGGCTCCACAACATCTGTGTATCCTTTCTGCGAGGTCCTTGGATTCATTATGAATTTATTGTAACAGATTTCATGAAAAAGCTTTCACAGAAAAGTATGAAAGACTTAGCTGAAGTTTTTGTTTCAATGTCCTGTTCCCTCCACTGAGAAATAAGGAGTGTTGGGGCTATATAGGTCGCTGGATGGAGGCGTTGTACATGATGATTAATCAGTAATTGTTTAAATGTAGCTTATACTTTTGCTGTTTTGAAACTATTAACATTCTAAACTTAATTTACATAGGTTATTAGTGAGCTGAATGGAAAAAACATCGAGGATGTCATTGCTCAGGGTAAGTACAGTCTTCAAGTGTCACAGATAGTTGCCTCTGTTACTTTGGTAACTCAGACCTGAGAGTGTAGAATTGCTGCCAATTCCCTAATTATTCATCAGTTTAGCTTTGCGGTTGAGGACTTCTGTGTTGGATTTTGGCTGAAATGACTGAAACCAGGTCCATTCTAATTCCCTGCAGGTTGGTGCCAGTACCTGCTGGGTTTCGCTTGTGGACCACATTAAACTGGAAAACTTAAGCATGTATGAGCTTACTGGTAGTCTGCTCGTGACATAGTTTTCTGGACATGTTGATCAGAGCAAATGATTAGCTGTCCTTCAGGTTCCCTGGGAGATTTTTTCCTTTGCATTTACACACTTGTATGCACCAATTATGTAAAACTGGAAGAACAAACTGTTAAAGGTAAATAAGTGTCAATTCACATTAAGGCTGTGATTAATGGAAGCCTCTCCAGTACACATCTCTTCTAGAGGTCCCCAAGTCTGGCATTTCCTTTTCTCTAAGATAGAACTGAGTGCTGACTTCTGTAGAAGCTTGTGCTCTTACCTGCTGGCTCTTACTAAAGCTGAAACTTTTAACATTAATTGACTGGGTCATAGGGCTGAAATAAAGCAGAGCTGAGGTAGTGCAAATGTTCCTAATTCTTTTTTTATTTTATTTTATTTTTTGCAAGTGCATAGGCACAAGGGAACTTTTAGGTGTATATTTGCTTAAAGGTTGCCTGGCCTAGCCGTTACAAGCTGTTACTTGGACATTTTTATCCGTGTGCTCTGAAGACCTAAGAGAGCATGTGCTTAAAACGCACTTAGTCTCTTTCTGTAATGCTTTTTCTTTAAATAAATTGTTGCCTAGAACATACTGACATGCATAGGAAACATGTTTGTTTACTTGGCTAGTTAATTAGAGCTTGAAGTAACAGGGAATTATTTAGAAACTGATTCCCAGAAATTGGAATACAGGCAAACATACTGTGTACGCGACCTCTGAATGCCAAGGGAGCCTTGGTATGTGAAAGGCAGATGCCAGAGAACTAGCTAGCTTTCCAAAGACAAGCATAAATCAGAAGTCAGTTTGTTAATCTCAAAGGAGATGTAATAGGTTCATAGGATGCTGGAGAATTTGTTTAAAATGCTCTACTCTTTGCCATAAATACATCTTTCCCCCACCCCCTTCTCTCCTGTGTGATCCAGTCATGCCCTCACAGTTCTCTATACTGTTTTTAAAAAAAAAAAGGGGGGGGGGGGAAGTCAGTGCTGCCTATATATTATTTTTGAGGTATATTGAAATTCCCAAGTTTTGGGCTGTTACATTGTATCCAGAAAACATAGGGGGTTTTATACATAGGTTTAAAACATAGGTTTATACATACATACATATGTATGTATAAAATCAGATGTGCTTGACACTATTTTTATATGACACTTTTTGGAATCAAAATAGGGGACTTCATGTACAGAAGAAAACTTACTAATAATGTGCTGTTTGTGTTCTCAGGAAAGCCTTTGTGGATCCTAAACTCTTGAGGTTTTTTTCATAGAATAGTTTATACTTATCATGGGTGCAGCCTCTTGTTCCTTTCAGCTAGTAGTGACAGATCCAGTCCATGAGACACACTTTTTTCTGCACTCTCATTTCTCTTCACCTTACCTCTGTGCTTCCAGTGAACATTTAAATAATTTCTCTTCTGTCCTGCTCAGGTAATGGAAAACTTGCCAGCATGCCAGCTGGGGGAGCTGTGGCAGTCTCTGCTGGAGGGGGCTCTGCTGCTCCTGCTGCAGCTGCTGCCCCTGCTGCCGGTGAGTATGGGTAGAGAGGCATTGTTACAGGACAGCTCCATTTTTCTCTGTTAAAATCTTAACAGTCGAGTCTGAATTTCAAGGCTTTTCCACTTTGGCAATTCACTATGTGATTGAAGTGTAAACTGAACAGTTACTTTCCCTTTGGGCAATCGGAAACATTTGCTTGTTATCCAACTTAAAATTGGTCTGGCTTAGAACCAAGAATCAGACAGACTTCACTGCGTAAAGCACATCCCTTCAATAGTGGTGTCTGTGTCGCCTTGGTGTTTATGTTTGGCTATTGAAAGGGAATGAGGTGAACCAAGGAGGCTGAAATACCAATAGTACGGAAGCTGAGAACACAAAAATGTGTGTCTTGAAAATCTGGGGTGCAAAAAATGTAAATACTGACCATGGCTTGGTCATCTTTTTCCCCTTCAGCTGAGGAGAAGAAAGAAGAGAAGAAGGAGGAATCTGAAGAATCTGATGATGACATGGGTTTCGGCCTGTTTGATTAATTATTTGTTATAGAGAAATTATTAAAATTCTTTGTTTTAAATATTTTTTGAGTTTATTATTATAACCATACAAGTGCTATTGTATTCAGACAGCTCTGACAAAGCTTTGATTCCTACCTGTCTGAAACAGATGTGTGAATTTTATGGCAAGCTGTGGGACTCAGCTCTCTTAAAGTACTTGGGAAATGGCTAAGCTTGTGTGAACCTGGATGCTTGCTTTGACACTCCTGTTTTTTTAAATAGTATGTGGAAGCTGAATCTACCTGATACTAACTTAAGTTGACCTTCTCTGTACTATTTTGCCATCCCAGTTACTCAGGAGTCTCATCTATTCAGCAATAAAAGGACTTTATTTTTTGGGATCTGTTTAATCAATTCCAAAATGTGAAACTGAATGGACAGCAGGTCTGAATTAGTCCAGAAACATTATCATTTCAGAGCTAGCTACAGTAACTGGGTTTTTAAATATCTAAAAGCACCAATTTCATCACTGTGTCAGATTTCCAGGATCTAGGGACAGCACCAATAAAATGCTTGACTATACTTGGATTTTATGTTACATCCATATGTTAACATAGAATCTATAACAACAACAAAAAAAAAACAACTGAAACTGCATCCAGCTGTTCATGGGACACTGAGATCAATGCAAAGATGCTCTTCATAGTGAATGGCTGTTCTGGGGGTAGCTGAACTATCAGGTTGTGAATCACCTTGATCTGGACAAAAATAAACTATTTTATGAGGAGAATTGTGTTTTTGGAGAACTGAAACTAATTGCTGGTGTACCTAGAAGAACATACCAGCTTGGGAGGATGGTAAATTTTGCTTTTGTAAAGTGTGTTCTGCTTGGAGATGGTTCTGACAGGCAATATACCCTGACTTCTGTGGTGGTCTTTGGCTGTCACTGTAAGTAGGTGGAGTACAGGTAGCATGTGATCTTCCCATGCCAGGTCTCCGCAGGTACTGTCAGAGGTGTCCTGGAGCAAGCTACACTGAAGCTCTTCTAGCAGTTGTTTTGGGAAAAAAAAAAAAGCATGAGATGATACAGCTATGTTGGTTATGAGTCATTGGACAAAGCATGGCAAATACTTCTGAGAGGAGAGATGGGTGAAATCCAAGTAGGAAAAGCTATCTATCTCCCTGTGGTGTACTGAGAAAATGACCATTACTTCACAGTAGCCAAGGGAGAGAGCAGTTGAAAGATCCTCAGACCTCAAAATGGCCATAATTTAAGCAACTAACCCTTGCTGCCCTTCTGTGCCTTCTGCAAGAAAGAGTTCTAGGAGGAAACAGCGCCAATACCTTTCATCTACTTTTGTCTCGAGTCCTAGCATGGTGATCTTTGTGGTAGCTCTAGTTCTCTGTCAGACTGGTAATGGCTGTGGTTTGGCACTGGAATGGGTGCGGGTATAGCTGTGTTTCTTTCCTTGCTCATTTCTCCGTTTCAGATCACTGGAAGAGAGGTTCTTGAATGTGGTTTTACTGAGAGGTAACCTCCACACACACCCTGCAATATTGCCTTGCTTGGAACTGCAAGAGCAAAGTCAATGTTTTCACAGGAAGGAACTGTGCTGTTACACCACTCAGCAGGGTTTATTCCACACACAAAGGAATTTGTTTCAGTGGCACTGAGGTATTGCATGAGTTTTGCTGTGCCCAGGCCTGTGGGATGAGACTGAAACCTGTGGTGCCAGCTGCTGCTGGCTACTGCAATACAGCTACATTCATCTAACCTAACATTTCTTCCCCCTATTTTTATTTATCTTCTCCCTATGACCTGTAAAACCTTGAGTTATGGACCTGATCCTGTGCTGGGTGTCCTCTTACGACCTTTAAAATCCTTCCTGAAAGTGCATCATTTTGATGAAAACTGTCGCTCAATCTGCTTTGAGAAAGAGGAGGACAGCTTATTTGGTAAAGTGTTCAGAGAAGAAACTTTTGGGGGCAGCTCTCAGAGAAAGCACTGAAAATACAGCATTTGTTACATTGCCACAGGGAACCAACATATTTTACATAACCACCCTGTAGGTATTCCTTGTGAAGATCAGGGGACAGATCCAAGATTTCTCACAGATCTTACGGAATTTGCTAAAACCTCTGCATGGTGAACATTTCTTCCAAATGCAAAATCAAAGCATTTTACGCTGTCTTCCCCTGTACCTCTTTACAAATCAGTTGTCACCTGATGGATTTGTACATGAGCAGTGATGTGCCTGGAAGTCTGATGCAGACTTGTTTTGTACTCTGGATGGAGTTTGCCACTCTCGGTTCTGCTGACCTCAATGAGCTTCAGCTCTGAAGGAGTTGGGATCCCTGCTCCTGCTATGTGGATGCTGTTCTGAATTTTCAAGTGTCACTGATGCCTTTTAGACTTAGCAATGATTTCCAAGGCAAGGGCAGCGGTGGGGTGGATGTGTTGGGTCTGTCCCCTTGCAAAATCAATTTTAGCTAGAACAGATTTTTCCTGACTTCTTCATAAAGAAAGGCTCAAAGGCATTAAAGGAAAGGATAATCTCGTGCGTGGAGATTACACTGGTAACTGATCATTACTAAATTGACGGTAGGGGAGAGTGATTTAGTCATAGGCCTGATGTTGAAACACGCGAGCTGTCCTCACCGGGACACAAATGCTGCGCCATCTCAAATCAGCTCTGACTGAAAATCATTCCTTACAAACACCATGGGGCAGGGAGAGTGACATGACATCTTCACTACTTGGAAAGCAGGGAGAACGTCCTGGACACTACTGGAAAGTAATAAGCAATGGCTCCCTGGGGCCACTGTCAAATCAACTGGTTTCACTCTTACTACTAAGGCCCAATTTTGCAAGCTGTTACATGCAGGCAGCCCTGCTAAACTCAGGTTTGACTTACGTAGGACAGAGGTATCTGTAGTAGCTTTACGAGAACGAAAATTCAGTGCCAAGGGAGCAGGACAAAGGGACTGCTCCATTGCCTCAGGAGATGCTCCTATGAAGCAAGTCCCGAGTGTTTGCCATGGAATTGTCTGATACATGCAAACATCACAGGTAAGGAAAAGACATCAAAGTCAGGCTTTCCAGCAATGTTAACAGCACTCAGGTTGGCCGCCATGACCAGTACCCCAGTCTTGCTGACTACAGGCAACGATACTAAAGTAGCTTGCTGAAGACAACAATATAACAAACTGTCTCTTAGCTTCCATTTAAAATTAATTTCCATTGGCTGCCAATAATCAAGGTTTTACCTGAAAAAACAGAGATTGTTTGCTTGTACATTATTATCCCATATATACTAACTGCTTGCCATTCATTAGACTAGAAAACAAATGTAACAGGGAAGTTGCGTGAGAACCTGTCTCAGTGGCATCACAACATGTAAGTGCACAAGTGAACTTGCAGTGTTCTGATAGGAGTTTGATACATATGAACAGCTGCCATGTAAATCTTGCTGACTTGGTTTATTGCAGGATTATGAGCAATTCAGGATTATGGCAGTACTTTCTTACTGAGGAGAAAAAGATTAGTTTGGAGGGATAATTCATTTGTGAGAAAAACACAGTTGTTTGCCAGCCTGCTAGTACCAGTACCCAGGCAGCACTCTGCTAGAGATTACTGTTCACATGGTTTATTTCATTAACCTGTTTCAAAAGGGCAGTATTAACCTCCTCAAATAGGTAACCTAGAGGGCCAAGGCAGAGTGATGTAAACAACTCAGGATGAGAATGCTGTTGAGAAATCAAGTGAAACTAACCAGCACTGTCACAGCATTGTTGTTTCTATTTTCCAGACATAGTAGGAACCTTAAGGTTTGTGAAATGCTGAAAAAAAAAAGAGGAAGCAGCATTGGCTCAAGGAAGAAGCTGTTCTTGTGGTTACAAGTGTTAGGGAGGTATCTGCAAACAAGGTTCAGTGTTCAGTTTTGCCACAGATTTCTGCTAAAGTCACAGCCCATTGGCTAGTGCTTCTGCAGCAGTAGAACAATCCCTGTTCTGGAAAATACAAGACACAATGTTTTCTTTGGGTTTGGCTACATGGAAATACCTTTCCATGTCACCAGAAGCATAGGGTGAAAGCACTATGATTGTCTTGGTGTTAAGGGCCTTTAAGAGGGTCAAAGCTCAGGTGTGCCAACACTCACCTCTTCAGGTGGAGGAGATGAGGGCTGACAAGGTTTATGTAACCATATCAAACATAAAGGAGGAAGGAAATTACAAAAGCAAGTAGAGGTATGAGAGGAAGAGAAAGAAGGGTGGGTATATGGCATAAAGAGAGGACTTGAGGTAAGTGAGGTTAATTCTTTAGGTGCTCCAGGATGGAGCTAATGTGTGTCAGCGGTACTTCCTGGCAGCTAGGTGAGGTAGTGGGCTCCAGGGTAGGACCTGGAAGAAAAATAAGCTTGGACTCCTGCCTGTCTGATGGAAGGGAAGTGCAAACATTTAATGACAAAGCACTCTGTCTGTAGAGGCTGGAGTATGAGGCCTAAGTTGAGCTCAAATATTGGATTTATACAAGGGTTTCCTGCTATTGGTTTTTTCAGTCAGCTGACCATGAGGCAGTAGACTGCTGTTTTTAGAACCTGGATGGCCTCTCTGTGAGAGGGGTACTAGCCTCCCTTGTATTCTTTGAAAGGATGTTTGGAGTGGAAGGAACAGGACAGGGGCTACTTGGATGCCCTCCACTAACATAATTGGTGAAATTCCTGTGAGGTGGAAGGCCTAGCTGTGCTTAGTCTGAGAGCTGTTAAGGACAGGTATAATGGTGTCCCAAATAAGAAACTTCTGACTGGTTATAAGAAAACTAATGCAAATAGATTTACATCAAGATGAATTAAGGAGGGTTTTGTGGTTTGTGGTTTTTTTTTTAACTTTGCTAGAAAGTGCTTTTGTCCTATGTTGATTCTAATAAAAAACTACTTATGCTTTTTGTTTTGTAACCCCCAAACCTC